TTGGGTGTGGGTGTGGGTGTGGGTGTGGGTGTGGGTGTGGGTGTGGGTGTTATTCTTCTCTTCAACTACATCCACACCCACACCCACACCCTAGTCACCACATCACAGCAGAGAATAGAAAGAATGTTATCTGCAATAACATTCTTTCAAATAGCAAAAAGAAAAGAAGAGAAAGCGAGAATAAAATGATCGCTAACAAAAACGGTCGTTAATTTTGCATCAACCCAATAGAAATCTTAGAGAACCCATAACTCGTTTTGAAAGCTTCTATTCACTTTGATTTTGAGAATGTAATTGCAAATTTTTCTAACAATGATAAACAAAAGAATATTTGACATTATCAGTACAATATTAGTCTTCTGTCGATTATATTGATGTTGATGCAGGATAAGCATATCTATCTTAATCCAAATCTTATTATCTTGTGGTATTAAAACAACGAGATTTGAGAAAGAAAAACTTAAATCTAGCGATCATACTACAAAAGAAATCGATTCGAGACCATTGATTTAACACCAAAATATGATAGGGAGAAATACGGGAATTGGTGGCTGTTATTTGAAAGATGGCACTGGGCTATGCATTCGAGTTTAAAATATAAATAATCTGACTATAATTGGAGGTCAAGTACCTAAAAGAGATTGGAGTGATAATATAGGTATAAACGACGAAATAGACATCAGTTAATCGAAAAAGCCTGAATAATTTTGGTCATTATCTAGTCCTACTTTGGAGGTGATTGCTTTTAGTAGATGACAAAAGCAAATAAGTGGTGTTCTCATCCTATTCGGCATGCTGGAGCACGTAAAGTTGGACGGTCTCCATCGCATCCTAAAGGAATATATCGTGCGTCGTTGCAACTTATGAAATTTCTCAATCAACAATATGGTGCAACTGGTATTAATTCTTCGCAGTTGAATATGGGAAAATTTTACATATGTACTCGTTGCTACGAGTATGAGATGGATCGAATGAAAAGTACTCGGAACTTTTCAAGCAATCTAGAACTAGTTAATAATGGTAATGAATCAGCTGAAGATATGGAACTACGTTTATCAATTGACTCTTTGCATATGCAAGACATTTCCGAAGTTACTACTCCGCAAGGTACTGAGGGTGGAAAGTCTGAGCTTCTTAGTGAAGATGGATTAGCTCTATCTCATAGTCAGAATGTTGTTAAAGAAGTCCTCAATGATGTCTTTCGCATTTTGAAAATCCCAACGATTACTGATATGTAAGTCATACTTTCCAAATCAATTAGTATATATTATATATTTAGCTGCCTATTTTTAGACGTAATACAGAAAAGTTGTTCAATCAAGTTAATCGTGCATGTGAAATGTTGCATACAATGTGTGAGAATCTTCTACATAATAATAAGAAGAAAAAAAACACAGAACCGCCCGAAAACGATAATTTATTGTTACTAACTCTTTCGGAAAAAAATGAATTAATAGGTGGTATTAAGAAATTATATAATGCAAGTGATAAACTCGAGCAAGTACGTCTACTTACCATAGCACCGGCTCATTGGGGACGACAAAGACTGCAGAACTTTTTTGATAGTTCTGAACGACAAGCACGAAAATCTCTTGAAATTCGTACAAGTGAAGGCATTCTCAGTAATCCAGAAAATCTTCGAGGTAACCAACCATTGGATAAATCCGTTATCGAGGCTGTTATTAAATTCTACGAGCAAGATTGGATTAGCAGAGTGTCACCCAACAAGAGTGATGTCTTAACGATAAAAAAGCAGCCTGTTGCTAAGCGTTTTATGTTATTAACCATCAGTGAAGCCTATGAAGGGTTTAAGAATGATTTTTCTCAATGTAAAATTGGACGATCAAAATTTTTTGAACTTAAACCTCGCCATGTCAAACCAATACAACTTCATGACACGTGCTGCTGTATGTATCATGAAAATTTTGAACTCTTGCTTAAGGTAAAAAATACTGCTTTTGATTCAGAAATACTGAGATTTTCATTTAAATTTCAATCGTATAGGCATGGAATCGAATAAGCAATGAAGAAATCAACAAACAAAGATTAATCAATGAGATTTTATGTCCTATTGCCACTGATCAATGTCATTATCGTGAGTGTCGAAGCTGCAGCAATCAATATCCATCAGACTTTCTCAGGAATTGCTTTACTGACGATGAAGATGAGACTATGGAGTGGACAAACTGGAAACGAACTAACAAGCGTGTTGCATTACAACAAATAACTGGTAATGTGAGCCTACTTCTAGATTATATTGATGAGCAATGGGTAGGTTTTGTTCCCCATCATTACTACATGAAGACTCAACAAGCATATATAGCTAGTATTAAAAAAGTGAGGATATTTCTTTTGTTGAAACATATTGAAATGTATCTATTGTCTTTTTTTTTATCTACGAACAGATATCGAGTCCTAATGATGTTGTAGTTGTACAAATGGATTTTGCACAAAACTTTGCTTTATTATCGCAACGCGAAGTGCAATCCGCACATTTTGATAAACCTCAAGCAACTGTTTTCACGGTATTAGTTGTAGTTGGCTCCGAACACAGAAATTTTGTTATAATTAGTGATTATGTTGAGCACGTAAGATCGAATTGTTGTCTCTTTCCGAAACTCATGCAAAAATCCTTAACCTCACAGGACACAAAGTTTGTGTATTTTGCACAACAAATGATAGTTTCGAATGTAAAGCAGCTTGCACCAAATGTTCGCGTAATCAACTATGTTACTGATGGTGGACCATCACATTTTAAGAATCGATACAACATCCTTAACCTCACATTTCATGAAATGGATTTTGGTGTACGAGCAATGTGGAGTTTTACAGCAACTTCGCACGGTAAAGGACCTGTGGATGGATTAGGAGCAGCAATCAAATCGACCGCTACTAGATATCTTATGCGCCATGGACCCGAAGAAGCATTCAAAAATCCCAATGAGTTTTACAATTTTTCGGTAAAGCAACAACAGTCATCAAAGTCTCGTATCGAGGTTTTATATGCAGAATCGAAAGAGATCGAGCAGCTTCACCAAGAGAAAAACATGAAAAGATGGGAAAATATCAACGGTAAATAGACTCATGATATTTATATTTCTCTTATAATTTCTTTGCAGCTATCAACGGGATTCGCTCATTCCATCATTTTATACCTATTGGTTTTCGTACAATTCAATGTAGTCGTACTTCAAGCTCTCAAACAAATCAAACATACTACCTGTGATCTGCATTTGTCCATAGTTTCTATCTATCTGTTATAGTCTTTAAAAGAAGAAATTTCTATTCATTTAGACAATAAATTACTACAAAACTAATCCATTCAAGTCAAATCAAGTCTTGAATCGATTTCTTTTGTAGTATGATCGGTAGATTTAAGTTTTTCTTTCTCAAATCTCGTTGTTTTAATACCACAAGATAATAAGATTTGGATTAAGATAGATATGCTTATCCTGCATCCACATCAATATAATCGACAGAAGACTAATATTGTACTGATAATGTCAAATATTCTTTTGTTTATCATTGTTAGAAAAATTTGCAATTACATTCTCAAAATCAAAGTGAATAGAAGCTTTCAAAACGAGTTATGGGTTCTCTAAGATTTCTATGTTATCGCAGTACAATGTTGTGGTGATTCTTGTGAAAAGAAAAACTTTTGAATAGTTATTGAAGAGTTGAAAGGACATTTTTTACCTTTTAGTATCATCATATGATAGAAAATATAACATAGTACCTTGTGAAATTTCATATGCTTTTTATTCTACTCATTGAGATCTATCTATATTCAAATTTTCAAACTGATTCATCGATGCTTTCTATGAAAAAGCCCTTGAATATGAGCTAAAATTTGGCAAAAAAACGAGTATTGAAACATTTTTGCCTCTGAAACCACGGCAAATCAAAAACGACTGAGATGTCTTATATACCAGAAGATAGAGCAAGCGACGCTCTACAAAACCTGAAGTACCACCACTCACCCAAATTCGGAAGAGATTTTTTATTAGGAGCAAAAGTTTACGTTACTGTCAAATAATTCGGATCCGTGGAAAGTTTCACTTAGGATCCTGAACTATTTGGTTCATATATGGTTAGATAGAGTTTATCGCGAGCTATCCAAATATATATAGAATATTTAGTTTTGATTGAGTAATGAAGAAGAAAATGTTTTCACAAAGTACAAGCCTCTCTATTTCGACGATGATTTTTTCAAAAGTCCTAAAAATGTATTTTGCCCATTTTGACCTGATAACATATTCAAACCCTTAATATTTTACTACCAAAATGATCAGCTCATCGAGCTCTACAAACCCTGAAAGTTTCAGTAATTTTGGAGAAAGTCATGTATAAAGTGGTACGTTTCCCATGGATTTACCCATTGCTATTGATAGCGTAGCAAAGGTATAGAGCTGAAGAGATATACA